TGTACGCACTCCACAGAAGATATCGATTAGCCTAGGACAGGGCTATTCAATTGGCGGCCCGCAATTTGTTCCGGCCCTCCAAACAGTGTGACCAAGACATCAAAAATAAATTTAGTTCAGTCGAAAAACAGCGGCTATAGTTATGAAGTGATGTGCGTCTGTTCAATACAGCATAAGCTGCAGAGGCTGCGCAGAGCGCGAGTCACCATTAGCGAGTGGCGAGGGCAGCCGAAAACATTTGGATGTGTTTGTAGAAAAGGCCTTTTGTACTATGCATTGATAACGTCAATAGGGATGCAACGATTAGCCGATTTCACTATTAACTGCGCTTTAATTCATCACAGTTAATTATTCGTAAAGGCTTCTAAGTTGCATTTCTGTTGCACTGAACAAAATGAAACTGCTGCAATTAAACAAAGTTATGCCAAGTTGCCAACTGTGCGTTAGTTTAAAAGTCCAAGTATGTAAGCCGAGGCTAATACGCACACACACAGGATTAACTATAGCAGCGGCCGTTTCCATATCACGTTTTTTCCACTTGCAAGTTTGTTATTTCTAATGTTAGAACTTATGACAATATGCACACACAAGTGGAGCAACTCGCTTGCGTCTTTCCAGGCGCATGCAGTAGAAAACATCTTACAATGAGAGTTGTGCATGCCTTTCAGTGCAATGTAAACAAAAGATATGTTAGATAAATTATTTTTAAAATGATTATGTATGCATGAATGCAGAATATACTTACCGAATATAAAGTTTGAATTTACATTAGACGTGAAACCATGATTATACTTCAGACTATATTAGTACAACCAAAATTTGTCTGAATGTGTATGAATTTAGAAAAAGCCTACTTCAGCAATGCACTGCTTTTGTTGTGCTCTGAAATACAACATTTAAATGTTTTTTTTTAAAAAGTCTACTATAAAATGTAAGTATATTGTATTTTGAAACTACATAATATCAGCGCATTTTAATATAGAAAAAGCCAACAAGGGTGTCTTAAGGAAAAATACAGCATATGGGCTCTTATTTGCAGTTGTGTTATCACTCCCAGCCTTTCGTTTAGGATGCTTTTCATGAACTGGCCCCCATGACAAACTAATTGAATAGCCCTGGCCTAGGACTTTTGACCAACTATAAGCTTTAACACACCTCCTTTTTTTGACCAGTGCATCCATGAGGCCATGAAGTGGTGCAAATGGATTTGGTATTTCAATAATGTGGTGCAAAGTGTGAAAATTACTGTTGCGCTGGTCTAAAAATACACATCTTGTGCCTTATTGCGCCAAGTGTATGATAGGGCCCGTAATATCCCTTTAAAACACTTTTAAAAATGTCGGACACCACGCATGAAGGAATTAAGCTAGCTTGTTAGTTGTTACAAATTTAAGTGGATTGAACCTAAAACAATTAAGCTCTCCTAAAAAACGTAATAATTGTGTTGCTTCAGGTCATTTTAAATTAGTAGTTTGAACAAACAGCAAAAGTATCTTTTGGTGAAGGTAAAAAGCTGTAAAACTGCTACAGCGAGAATTTGCAACTGGGTTAACAGCAAGTTACCCTAAATTATATGTTAAACAACTGTAAATGGACGTTCCTAGCATGATGCTTCACTTTTTATGTTTGTTGTTGACATTGCTGTGGTTCTTTTTTAGTTTTTCCAAGTTCAAAGTTGTTTGTGATGATCATTAGCTCATCATATGACTTTCTCTTCCCCACCTACATGCTCTTGGTTGTTTTTGTCTGTGTATGTGTGAGATATGCACTGTAAAAAATTAAGTCAGTACAAAAAACAAAACACAACAAAACATAATCTTCATTTCCTTTAGTTTCTTTTTTCTTGTGCACTCTTCATTTTTTTCACCTTTAATTGATATGATAGTAGAGAGTATAGGAAAGTATGGGCAAAGGAGAGAGTGGAAGGATTAGCATAAAACCTCGAGGGGAGAATTGAACTTGTGTTGCTGTGAACACCAGAGTGCCATGTGTCATACACCATTGGTGCAGATGTGTACTTAACTTTTAAAAACATCAGTCACACTGCCTAAAATGTCTAAAGTTGAGTGAATAAAAAACTCTTTTGTAAATTGGTACTAAGAAATAATACATTATCAGAACAAACAAACATAGTTCAATTGAAAAAAACATGAAGGCATGCTTCACATGTGAAGCATTACAAAGCATGTTTCCCTGTTTGTCCTGTCATGTTTTGATTAGTGTGTTTCAACACCTGTCCTGTTTCTAATTATGTGTCTAATAAATGTTGTATTAACATTTGTCTCTGTTTCAGTTTTTTTTCAATTGAACTATGTTTGTTTGTTCTGATAATGTATTATTTCTTAGTACCAATTTCCAAAAGAGTTTTTATATTCACTCAACTTCAGACATTTTAGGACAGTGCGAATGATGTTTTGTAAAGTTGAGTACACATCATGGTTAGTGCGTTGACACATAGCACTCTGGTGTTCATGGCAACCTGAGTTCGATTCCTGCCTCGGGGTCCGACTCCTATGCCGATCCTTTCACTCTCTCCTTTGGCCACACTTTCCTGTCTATACTCTCTACTGTCGTATCAATTAAAAGTGAAAAAAAAGTTGAGTACATGAGAAAAATCGAAAGGAAATAAAGGATTTTTGTTGTTGAGTGAACTACAGGCATTCTAGTTCTGCCGACTAAAAATGTTTAGTTGGCACAACTTAAAAAGTTTTGTTACAGAGTAGTTCACCTCTCCAGAAAACTAATAATCATATGTTAACCCAACTAAATATTTTTTGCATTACTGAAAAATTATTTAAGGTCAGTGCAGCTGATTTTTTAAAAAGCTGAGTGAACAAGAAAAAGCTTAAGAAAATAAGGATTAGGTTTTTTGTTTGTTTGTTGTTGTACTGACTTAAAACTTTTACAGTGGTGTATTATTATTGAAATGTGGTAGTTAATATTAGATTTACTGTACTTTAAACTGAAATTCTGGCAAATAACAGCCACCATTTTTAGGTCAATTATATGTATTTTTCAAAAAGTATCAACTGTATTGTCAGGTCAGGTTTGTGATGTTGAAAATTTAACAGTTTGACCTTTATTGACATTTTAGTAGCATGCAAATATATAATATATATTAATTCATATTGTTGGCTTTTTTACCATAATCTACATAACCAATCTAGTTAATGTCATTTCAAACTAATGCAAATAACAATGAAAGTCACTTTGTTAACCTTTTTAACATTAAAAGAAATGAGTGAAGAGGTAAAATTCCACAATGCAATTCAAACACGTAAACAAATGGAAAACACCCACAATCAATGACATGACTCAAGTCTTCCCTGATGTGATAAATCTCAGATAAAGCATAACAACTAATAGCCAGAAATTACAGAGTGAATCAGTTTCTCCTAAAGGCAGATGACAAGCTATTGCATAACAGAGGGTTGCTTAATTTGTTAGGCCATGACTTGTTTTTAGAAAATCGCCAATAGTTAAAATCCCTGAAAAAATTCAAACACTCCAAATGTGTGCGAATATGAGAAACATATAATTAAAGTATACACTCTGATTGGCAAGAGTTCAGCATATTGTCTTTTCCTGTGATTATAAATTACTGTGATTGTAGCAGATAATGCACTTAAGATTTGACTCTGTGTTACACTATATAAGATGATAAAGTGATTTGATTACATTGATCTAGTTTAAAGACAGAGCTTTTGTCTTTGCCATGTAACAACGATTGAAAAACATCTTTTATAAATCCAATCAGACTTAATTCCTTGTGTTCACAGATAAGGACAGATATAAGGACACGTGCCTCTAATGATTATGAGGACAGAAGCACTCCCTGTCTGTCCCATGCTTGGTGCACAGCTGTCTCCTGATTAAACTACATAAGACCGAGACAGCAGAAATAATCCAATTCTTTTTTCCCAATGCTTTTATTTCAGCAGTTTACATAGAAAACTTGTTTGACCAAGCAATAATTGTAAACACTACATAATGAATGTCATCATGACATCAGATTGACGATTGTACCTCAACGTTGTGGGATGTTGCATTCTGTTTGGAAATGAAAATCAGGTTGACATCAGAACCCAGACAGACGTTGCATTTTGGTCACTTTCCAACACAACCTAAAATCAACCAAATCCATCAAATCATGTACAGCTTGATGTTTTGTGGACGTTATCAATATGACGTCTATTAGACATTGGATTTTGGTTGCCATAGCTGACGAATAAATGTCAGTATTTGACTTTATATGAAGTTGGTTTAAGATGTTGACTCAACGTTGGATTTTGGTCACTTTCCAACACAACCCAAAGTCAACAAAATATCAACATCATTTCACGTCAGTATTGGATGTCAAAATAACATTGTTCTTGGATGCTGGTGACTTAAATTTAACCTAATATTAACATTTTATGATGTTGCGTGTCTACTGGGGTAACACTCAATTTGAGTTGCAATAAAGTACATTAAAGTACTATAAAGAGCAATAAAGTACTTTCCATTATGTTTTATTTTTGTGTTTTATGTGTTCATTTAATATCTGAATATAACCCAACAATGACAGCACCTAAACAGATAGGAAAGCAGCACCCCTCAAATTAAAATACTAAATCAATATCTAAACTCTGGTACCACAATATATTGCGTATGATAGTCTGGTAAATAAAAACAAAAGGAATTAGCAGCACTTTTTTCAGCTTAGCTGAGCACGATGGATGTTCATATGTTCACAGCGTTGACAGCTCTAGTGATGGAGGCGGAAGTGGGGGTGTGTTGTGTGTGTGTCACTGTCAACGTTCTCCTGTGCGTTTCAAATACATTCCAAATATCCAGTCTTGTGTTTAATTGTTTAATTCAGAATTATCTCCAATAACGGCGCTGAAATAAAGCAAGCTTCAGTGTGCGCGCATGGAGCCGTTTCAGTCAGAAGAACCGCCCTTCAGCACTGCGTATTTAGGAAGCACGCGCGCTATAACGGAAAAGAAATCATAACTTACCATTTCTTTGTACATTCCAGGACAAGTTCTTGATACGAAGCCACGAACTGAAATTTGGTGGCTTTTTTGCCAACTCTTTGTAACCTTTTCCACACCGAAGTCATTCTTCTGTAGGAAATGCAGTATCCGCGAATGAAGTCAGGCGCATGGAAATAAGCTTTCTACCGTCCCGCCACTGCACAAAAAGTACAAAAACTACTCGAATTTATGGCTGTCAAGTGGCTCGCGAAGTGAAATGTCCTTGCTGAGGAGCACAAGCAGCAGCTCATGCGGCTCAGTCCCACCGAACTGTCGCCATCGAGTAAAGACCATTTACGGAAACTACTGCATCACGTTACACACACCAGAGCAGACTGTCAGTGTATTGCAATTAGTTGACTTGGTGCAAAAAGCAACATCTGTGCGTAAGGAATAGAGAGGAAGGACTTCATCTTTCGCGTCATGGAGCGTCAAGAGATGAAGTGTTTTTAAAAGCAGCTGTCTGACAATGAAGTGATGAAAGTGGAGGACGAAGTGCAGGAGTAGGTAGGAAGGGGTATGCAAACACGCCTATGATGCAGCAGTATGCAAAAACCTCCCTCATTGTTTTCAGAGCTGTACTGGAGGTATGACGGGTCAGGAGATGCATCCAGTAGGGGTCAAAAGAGGACACATGTTATAAATAGGTATTTTGTGAAATTATATTTCCTTTGCAGTTACATGAAGTATCTAAAATGATGATTTTACAACTAAAAGCTACTACATTAAATAACTATATAAACAAAGTAAGGTATTTGCTTTTAATTTTTGACCAATGGGCGGCGCTAGCAAATAAATACTTTTTTATAGAGTTTGTAAAAGTAAATTTACTAAAATTAGAAACAATTGTATAGGTATTTCTATAAGTTTGATTATTTATTATTATCAGAGATGCACTGATGTATTAGCCTATAATCTATATTACAGTTTTATCATTCATTCATTCATTTTTCTTCAGCTTAGTCCCTTTATTCATTAGGGGTCACCACAGTGGAATGAACCACCAACTTATCCAGCATGTGTTTTACACACTCATTCACACTCATACACTACTGCCAATTTATTCAATTCACCTATAGCACGTCTTTTGATTGTGGGGGAAACTCCGCACAGAAACGCAAACTGGTCCAGCTGGACTCGAACCAGCAACTTTCTTGCTGTGAGGAGACATTGCTAACCACTGAGCCATTGTTCCGCCCCATTGCAGATTTATTTATTTATTTATTATTATTATTATTATTATTATTATTATATATATTTTTCATTTTAATCTACAAACCTACAAACTAATTACAATTATTAAATGATCAAGGCGGGATGGGGAAGGTATGGGGCTTGTGCTGTTTTTGAAAAATGTCATTGATATTTAATTCATTCGTTCATGCATTTATTCATTCATTTATTCATTTTCTTTTCGGCTTAGTCCCTTAATTAATCTGGGGTCACCACAGAGGAATGAACCACCAACTTATCCAGCATATGTTTTACGCAGCGGATGCCCTTCCAGCTGCAACCCATCAGTGGGAAACATCCATTCACACACACACTCATTCACACACATACACCACGGACAATTTAGCTTACCCAATTCGCCCATACCACATGTCTTTGGACTGTGAAGGAAACCAGAGAACCCAGAGGAAACCCACGCGAACGCAAAGAGAGCATGCAAACTCCACACAGAAATGCCAAATAACCCAGCTGAGGCTCGAACCAGTGACCTTCTTGCTGTGAGGCAACAGCGCTAACCACTGAGCCACCGTGCTGCCTGATATCTAATTCATTTTATTAATTATTTAAAAGAAGAAATTAATAAACCTCTAAACTGTCTGCATCACTCTGAACAATCAGCAATATTTGCTGAAAGAATTAAAATAAATATAAACTCATTTATTATTTGTTGTAATAAAGTATAATCTGAAGATAATCTAGTCATAATTAGAAAAGATGGACTGAATATTTCTAAACTGTCACAACCGATGTAATGTAATGTGTATTTATAGAGCGCATTCATCATGTATGGCCATACACCCAAATCAGAGCACCCGGAGGAAACACAGGGAAAACATGTAATCTCCACACAGAAATGGCAACTGACCCTGCCGGGACTTGAATCAGCCACCTTCTTGCTGTGAGGTCTATATAGCTATTGTAACTGATGAAAGAAACTAGTAGCATGTGATAAAAATCAGTGTCACAATGAATTGCTATGACAACATAAGCAAACAACTTATAGCAATGACAACTCAGGCAAACAGGGAAACAAATCTAATGAGAATACAATGGCTGAAGTCAGATATATCATGAAATAAACGTATAGGTTATTAATTTTGGATTTGTATAATGTGTATTGGAACTTTTATATGGGTAAAATAATGAACAACGCTGCCAAAAGCATTATTTATTTAACTTAATGATCTGGAGCAGCAGTGTGGGACTGTCCAGTCCTTGATCACAGTGGGTATTTTTAGTAGACGTCGGCAAGGGGGATTTTTCGAGTTACACAGGGTCTATTTTAGATGTCTGAGAGTGAGGGATAAACAGACAGAAGCAGCTGATGGGATGGAAGGAGCAGTGCCTTGTGAGTTATTGGGGGAGTACAAACTTTTGGCTCAGCTGATGACCTAGAATCCAAATCGATGACCTCCTTAGTCATATTCCTGGGTGACAGTGACCTCGTCCTGTCTGCTAACTTTTTACATTGCTAACTCCTTTATAAATCTGAAAATGAAACTAATTATTGACTAATTAACTGATTGTTTGAAACTAACTGTCAGTGGTTTTGTTATTGGAGTTGTTGGACACAGTTTGTAGACTAATTTCAAATGCACAAGTATGAGTCAGCTCATTTAAATCTAGCAAACAAACTTAAGTCCGCTGGGAAACTGTCATTATGGTCATGATGATGAGTTTCCAAAATGGTTCCCTCCCTTCGCTGGGCTTCACAGGCAGGGTTTGTGTCCGAGCAAGACATGAGCTCATTTGTTATAAATGCTTACTCACTAGGTGGATCAAGAAAATTTGCATCCTTATAATGACACACCACAACACCTCAGAGTACTGTACAGGTGTAAAAAAACAAGGGTTTGATATAATAAAAGGAACAGTTTACCCAAAAATTAAAATTCTGTTATCAACACATTCTCCATCCTCAGCCTCTTTGAGTTTGACATTCAGAGAAATAAAAATACTGTGGAAGTCAATGACTGTTTTTCCTTCAACATTCTTCAGTATATCTCTCTTTGTGTTCAGCTGAAGAAAGAAATTCATTAACGTTTAGAATCAGTTGGGGATGAGCAAATAATGAGGTCTTTTTGGGTGAACTATGTATAAAATCTATCTATAAGTTCTATCTATCTGTAAGTATAAATTCTGTCTATATGTTCTATCTATATGTTCTGTCTATAAGTTGTATCTATTTATAAGTTCTGTCTATAAGTTCTGTCTATCTATAAGTTCTATCTATAAGTGCCATCTGTCTGACAGTTCTATCTATCTATAAGTTCTATATATAAGTTCTGCCTATCTATAAGTTCTGTTTATCTATAAGTTCTTTCTATAATTTTTGTTTATCTAAAAGTTCTGTTTATCTATAAGTTCTATCTATCTAACCGTTATATCTGTAAGTTATATTTATTAGTTCTATTTATCTATAAGTTCTATCTATCTAACCTATATATCTGTAAGTTCTATCTGTAAGTTCTATTTATTAGTTCTGTTTATCTATAAGTTCTATCTATCTCACCGTTATATCTGTCTGTAAGTTCTACCTATAAGTTCTGTCTATCTATAAGTTTTATCTATAAGTTCTGTTTATCTATGTTCTATCTATCTATAAATTTTGTCTGTCTATAAGTTCTGTCTATCGATTAGTTCTATCTATAAGTTCTGTTTATCTATACGTTCTATCTATTTATAAGTTCTATCTATCTAACAGTTCTGTGTATCTATTAGTTTTATGTGTAAGTTCTGTCTATCTATAACTTCTATCTATAAGTTCTAGCTATAAGTTCTACCCATTTATAAGTTCTATCTAGCTATAAGTTCTATCTATAAGTTCTATCTTTAATTTCTGTCTATAGGTTCTGTCTATAAGATCTATCAATCTATACGTTCTGTCTATCTATAAGTTCTATTTACCTATAGATTTTATCTATATCTATCTATTTATAACTAAAAAGATTTTAGCTTAGTACTTTCAATTGATAAATCATCATCATCATCATCATCATCATCATCAAAAAAAAAAAAAAAAAACCTGAATAAAAAGTCACCTACATCTTGAATGACCTGAAGGGGAGCAAACCAACAGGAAACATCCATTTTCTGTGAATGATACATACTGTTCAAATTCTTAACTATTCTAAAAACTAGGTGATGCGAGCATGAATTTATATATGCATGCAGTGTTTTTTTAAGTTAATTGATTCTTTTAATCAGAAAAGACATTAGGTTTATTAAAACAAACATAATGTTATAAAAACATATTTTAAAAAACAGATGTTAAAATGACTTTCAATTGCAACATTGTTCAATTCTGAAAATAATTAGTGATGATACTTGAAGAGCAAACCAGTATTTAAAATGATTTCTGAAGAATCATGTGACTCTCAAGATTGGAGTAATGGTGCTTAAAATTAATCCTGTTTTGAAATTTATTCAAATAGAAAACAGATGTTTTAAATTGGTATAATTGTGAAATATTCGTAATATGATTTATGATTGATTTAACCTGGAGCTTGACCAACAGTAGACCAGTTCAGATACAAATCACTTTTATAAGGATGGAATGTCTTTTTAAAATTTAAACAACCAAAAAAACAAGTATGTTTAAAAAAAGTGTTCAATGATATCTGCCATAATATTTATGCCTGTAAGATTTATTAAAGGGCTGAAAGTGCATATTTACCCCATCAAAAAGACTAAAAAGATTGCAACATGACCTTTAGTTTTAACAGATGTACCTTGGTAAGAGTTTCCAACAATGTCTTGTACATCTGTGTTTTATTTATAGAGGCATGGGAGAGCTTTAGAAGAATGCCACATCCTTCAACTCTTAATCACGTCGTCATACCAAATATGAGCAATTGTGAGAGAGAGAGAGAGAAACACTCTCCCTGAAGAAACAGCGGCGTGGAAAGTACAGTGAGTGTTTTAATGAGTCAAGAGCAAGGTTTTGACATGTGCGTGAGGCTTGTGGCACAATGATGAATGTTCAGCGCTGTGAAGCTGCCAAGAGCTTTGTTTCCTGTCGTTTACCTGCAAAGACTCAAACAGAAGACCTCTTCGACTGGAGCAGCAGACGGAAACATTCAATAAAATCTGCTGTATTTTAAAGCACACACCGTTAGAGCAGCTGCAGTGAGCACAGAGATCTTCACCTTCCTGATTGGCAGCGTACTTTATCCACCTGCTCAACCACAACAGACATAAAATGTCAGAAATGCAACCAAAGCTGCATTCTTAAAAATAACGTTAGGATTTTTTTTTTACTAATACAAAACAAATAAATATTAGCTCATGTAAAATTTGCAAACATAAGTTAATAAGTTAACTCAGCTGGGAAAAATCTATTTGGTCTAAAAATAAAATAAAAACAAATAATTAATTGGCTTAGTTAAATGGCAAACTACAAAGACATTATAGTTTACTGTAATGAAAAATGTGCAGTATAATTGAAAACTAGGTTAAAACAGCCTAGCACTGTACATAAAATCTTATCAGATCATTTAAAATATGCACTAATGTAGGTCTGAATAAGATCGTATTTACTTTTGGCCATTGCCATCAGCTAATGAAATGAAATGTTATTGCTATAATATTGCTATTTAAAATTAATTCTGCTGTGGTGTATAATTAAATAGTAAACTGGTATAGAATTGCTTCTAACAAAACCCTTAGCTACAAATTGCTAATTTCTTAACTACTCTTTCAAATACACATCATTTAGTTATAAGCACACTTATGGTGACCGTCACTATTACATTGCTAAAGTCTTCATAAAACCTAATCTCGACGGAAATGATAGGACATGCCGCCCCTGTGTTAGTAATTATATCAGTTATGTGAAGAGTCTTTACAGTAAACCCTGGCCTGTGTCTGAGCTTGTTCCTCTCATCATCATCATCATCTCTCCCAAACTCAAAAGCTAGCAGTGTTTCCTAATAAGTACAAGAATAGTTAGCAAGAACAGTTTGTTTATACTTGCGGCCTAATGAGAAAGAGCCTCAAAAAAGCTCTGTACCTCAGTACAAACAGAATAATTATTTTAATCAGATGGAATGTGTCTGGCATGAGTCAAAGATAAACATTACAGGAGAGGAATCTGAACGGGGCGATGAGGAAAAACGATGCTTCACGGAGTGGTTATTTCCATCTTGACTGAAAACAACAACCATTTACAAAGTCATAGGAAGGAAATGAGTGCCACCTAAAGGCTGATTCGATCATATCTGCTGTTTACAATGTGTTTTTTTTGAGACTTTGGGTTATAAAATATTAGACAACTAAACTTTTAGTTGGAATTACTAAGCTACAGAAAAATAAACCATACTTTTATTGTGTTTGAACCACAGTACTACAGGCCTACTGTTAGTTAACACTTTACAAGAAGGCTCCATGTTAATTAAACTAAACTGATGATGAAAACTTTCCCAGTAGCTAGTGGGTTGCAGCTGGAGGGGCATCTGCTGTGTAAAACATGTTGGATAAGTTGGCGGTTCATTCTGCTGTGGCAACCACTGATGAATAAAAGCGCTAAGCTGAAGGATAATGAATGAATAAATGGTGATGATAAACTTGTAAATTATTATCAGTCTTAATGGGTTGTTGTAACTCAATGTTGGATTACAGCAACCCAGCATTTTAATACATAAACATGAATTAGTTCATGTTTAATAGCTCAAAAATAATTAAACTTCCAAATGATTTTAACAGGTATAATGTTTTAATCTACTCACCAAAACTAAATTGTCAACTGGTAACCCATTGCTGGGCTACAATAGCACTGACTTGTTGTGGGGTTTAAGTAAAAGTGTAATCATGTTTTTGGTACATTAGCCTATTGTTTGTTAACACTATAATAGTACTTTTTATGGGGATTGGGTTATTTCTAGGGCTTTTTAAGAAGTCAAACATGGCATAAATTACTTTACACAAACCTTTTAGTAAAAAAAATAAAAAAATAAATAATTAAAATTTTGGAAGTTTAAATTGCTGGAAGGAAACAAGGATCAGCCACTGTGGGTTGCCCTCTTGCCTCACACCAAGAAGGTCACTGGTTCGAACTTCGGCTGGGTCAGTTGGCATTTCTGTGGGGAGTTTGCATGTTTTCCATGTGTTCGCGTGGGTTTCCTCCAGGTGCTCAGGTTTCCCCCACAAGTACAAAAACATGTGGTAAATGTGAATTGGGTAAGCTAAATTGGCTACAGTGTATGGGTGTTTCCCAGTGTGAGTTGCAGCTAGAAGGGCATCCGCTGCGTAAAACATATGCTGGATAAGTTGGCAGTTAATTCCGCTATGTGGCGACCCCTGATTAATAAAGGTTCTAAGCCGAAAATAAAATGAATTAATGAGTGACTCAAGCCTCATTCACAAAACGAGTGAGTCGCAGCAGCAAAGCGACAAGAGACCGTTCATTTCAATGGAGAGCGAGCGACTTTCGGGAAGCACCGACTACACGAGCGACAGCGACCGTTTGGTGACCAGGAGGATGTGTCTGAATGAGGCATCTGTAAACATGAAATTAGCCTTTTTTTCAATGTCCTGTACTTATTTTGTAACCAGGTTTATCCTAATGGTAATGTAGTAATAGTTCATGGCGATTTGCCAATTTGACAATGGGTAATCTGGATGTATAAGAGGCAGGGTGTGGGGGAGGGGGCACTGGGTTATTTTAAGGTCTTTTTAAGAAGTCAAACATGGCATAAATTACTTTACACAAGCCTTTTAGTAAAAATAAATAAATAAAATAAATTACTTGTTGGAAGTTTAAAATGCTGATAAAAAGTGTTACCAGAATTGTAGGTTAATAGGAGGGTTAAAGTAACCTTCTTTGCCGTACATATCAATATTGTTATAATACCTTAAACATGATAAGAAGAGAAAATGATACCATCATGTGCCTAAATTTTACATATTTTATTTTAATGTTGTATAAAATGCACATTCAGTGTTTAAGTTACTAATGAAAGCACAAGTGGCAAAAAATAATATAGAATAATAAAAATAAAGTATCTCAAATGCTGGTATATGCGTGATAAAGAAAATAGATAAGTGTGAAATTGACACATCTATGTAATGTAACACAATGATATAGTGATTTGATACTAAAATAATACGTAAGGCATGTCTCTAATTTTGTTTTTTGATGCATACACTCTTTACCATAAGCAATAAACATCCCAGACTGTTTCTGGCCATAACATCCTCTTCCTGTCAGTCCTCATCCGGTTGTTTTACTTCACACGGTTTTCCAAACCTACAATATCCATTGTAATGGTATCCTACAAAAATAAAGGCCTTGTTTCATTCTGTCCTTCAAACAATGGGGTCATGTTTGTCACAGAGGATCGTGGGACGTCAGATCCAGGACTCATGCTTGATTTAAATGGGGATGTGGAAGGAGTCTTTGATCCACTGGTCTCTGGAGTTTTGTGCGGGTTGAGGAAAGGATAGCGGTGTGTCTCCTCTCTCTGCTTCATGGTCGTCTTCATCTTCCTCCTCTTCTTCTTCAGAATAACCATTTTCGGTGTTGAAGGAGCTTTCGCAGAGGGAGGACGAGATGTCCTGGAAGGCTCCTTTGTATTCCTGGATGGACTCGTATAAAGACCACAGCTGGCACAGCAAGGACATGTCTAACTGCCGGAGGCCAACCTGCAACAGACACAAGGAGACATGAGCTGTGTGGATTCACAAATATTGGAACTAGAAATAAACTACAATATTTATATATAGTTGTTTTGATGAGCTGGTATAATTAATGTGTGGGGGAAGAAACTCCCTTTAAACAGTATAAAAAAGATTTTTACAAATTTCAGCACAAAAAATGCATTCTGTACGAAACATTATTTTATTTAGATTTTTTTTAATACAACATGCATATACAAAACATGCATTTCCTAATATTTACGTTAATTTAAAAGTTAAAATGCCCTTCAATCAACAAGTGAAGTTTATTTATAAACTAATATTGAGAAGATCACGTGCTTATGAATGCTTGCCGCTAGTCCCGCATTATCCAATTTATGATTTACCAATCAGACGATTCCTAAGCCACTATAAATACCCTAAGTTCCATATAACAACCAACTTTGTGTTGAAGAATCTTCCCTTCCACCTCTACTCCTCCTCCTTTTCTGGATGGGTGGCACGGTGGCCCAGTGGTTAGCACTGTTACTTCACAGCAAGAAGGTCCCTGGTTATAGTCCTTACCAAGCCAGCCAACGTTTCTGTGTGGGTTTACACGTTCTCCCCGTGCTCACGTGGGTTTCCCTCGGGTTCCCCGGTTTCCTCCCACCATTCAAAAACATGCAACTTAAGTTAATTGACTAATCCAAATCAGCACCATAGACATGCACCTAATAAATGATCTCTTAAGAGCAATCACTATCTGTCCATTAGCTTCAACAATTCCTTTATGTTGTCCCAACACAAAAAGTTAAGTTACTTGAATGTTTTTAAAAATTGAAGTAGATTAAACATAAAACAATTACGTTAGCCCCCACCAATAAAAACCCAACAATTGCGTTGATTCAGCTCATTTTAAATAATTAGTTTGAACAATCAGCAAAAATATTTGTACACTGAAGAACCCTAAAACTATGAATATTTTCATAGATTTTTTTTGTGTGTCGTTAACGTATGAAAGCAGCATAAATACAAACATTAAATCTAAGATCTTAGCATACATTTTAAACTCAATTGAAATCGGGTTGTGTTCATCAGATCTGCCGCTGATTCCTCATTGACCCAACATAATCAGCGCAGTCGGGGTGAGTGACGTTAAAGTGGCGCAGTCAGGCGGGTCTCTCACTCTCTCTCACTCTCTCTCTCTCTCTCTCTCTCTCTCTCTCTCTCTCTCTCTCTCTCTCTCTCTATTTCTCTGTCTCTCACTCACCATGTCTTTGCGCAGAACAGCCAGCGCTGCGTCCAGACTGGCCGGTTTGCTGCGTTCGAGGCAGTCGCTGACCCTGGACTTGCTGATGTCCGCCTGGATGCGGGTCCTCTTGCTGTAGACCTTCTCAATGTCCCGCCAGGACCCGCCGCTGGAGTTTAGGATACCGCTCAGTCCTTTCGGTAACGGGGGCAAACCTTCAACGGGGCAGACGCTGCCAGCCGGACACTCCGCTGGACTGCACTGAAACCCGTTCATTTCCCTCCTCAAAATACAAACACGCTCTCACTATATCAGGCCCGGTGCTGTTGTTTTGTTCATGTATTTCCAAGATATCCAACTGATATTAAATGTACAGCCTTTCTTATATTTAAGGTGTTTTGAGCACACGAATGACCTTTTATAAATGCGACAAAGTGTCACCGATCAAATCAAATATCCGGAAAAATGAACAGAAGAGTGCGTGTCAGCGCTGTTCTTCAGTGTATCCTCTGCTTTTGAAGAAACTATAAACAATACCTCGTTTACACTATTAGATCATTCCTCTTCAATAATCTCTGCTCTTTCAGGAGGTGATTTTCCGCTGGTCCTTATTTGCATGTCTTCGTAAATCAGCGCGTTAGTAATGCTGGAGATAAAAACGAAGCTCTGCCAGTGGATATGATCCAAACCGGTCAGGAAACGCTGGACAGGAGATCAAGGCGCCCCGCTTTGTTTTCGTTTATCGTTTTCTTTTGTCTTGTAACGTTACAGCTAAACCTCGCCCACTGCATCTCTCCGCCCGGTGCGCGCTTTGGCCACGGCGAGGCGCTGTTTCACACTTTTCTGTCAAGCGTCTGATGCTGTTCTGCTCTTCCTTTTGAAGCGTTTTCTTCGGTTTCAATCATTTTTAATGTTTTAATCTGACCCTTGCCTTTACTTGGTGTAGACGTGTTTACACTGCATTTAAGTCAAGTGTGTTAACTGTCACACTAACTCACGATAAAACTGTTTCTCATAAGTGCACGCTGCAGTGTCGTCATCTGAAATCTGATTTTTAACATAAAAATTGACGTATAACAATTTCAAATGTTCGATAACAAAAACAATTAAAGCCAATCAGAATCAAGTTTTAGAGGTAAAGCGTTAAAAGTGTCAGAAGGCAAAAATACAGAACATTTTTCCAAGAAACACTAAAAGGGGTAGTTCACCCAAAATGAAAACTGTGATTTAATCTCCCTTTACATGTTTATGACCTACTTGTGATCAACAAAAGAATGTAAATCATAAAAGTTTAAAACCACATGAGGGAGAGCAATGAGGCAATTTTATAACTATGCAATAAAATGCAAAAGCAGCAACACATTCTACTGACTGCATCTCACATTTTCAATAACAAAATATCTCAATGTATCTTTTTATATCACAACACAAAAAATAACCTCTTCGGGCCGGTCACAGACAAGCTGTTTATGTCGAAAATTTAAGACACAAGAGTAAAATAAACAATTAAAAATGGAGAAAAAAGGCACTAGAGATGTCAGAATCTGAACTTAAACTTCAGTGCCATATTAAACTTTCATTTGCAAACATATACCAGAATGAGTGCAAAAGCTGTGTACTAGAAAGCAAAAATTGCTAGATGCAGGGAAATGTATAAAACAAAATAACTTTGGGGACATTATATTTAGAACATTAGTAACCGAGTTAAACTTGTTTTGAGTTCTGCATTTCCGGAATGTTGTGTCATATGCAAGATGCTGTAAAAGCTGCTACAATAACAGCAAATCATTCATCTAATGCACAAAAAGAACCAAAACAGGAAGGGAGTTAAAAACTCAAGATAACAGAATGAAAAAAAAAAAATGCAAAAGCCTAGAAATGAACCTGAGCACTACGTTTGATAGAAAAGCAGTGCAGTAGAATGTGAAAGCAAGATGAAGGCCAGTGCAATATATAAAACAACTTTAAATGAACTTGATGCAGCGTTTCATGAAAAAAAAAAAAAAAAGATGTAGGCCAGTGGAATAAATAACACTTAGAAACACTTTTTTTATTTACTTTTAAGGTGACACAGCTTTCTAAGTATGTGATGCTCATGCTAAAAATGCAAGTGCAATGGTCAATGAAAAAACAAATCAATGGAAAAGCAGTGAAGTGGAACGCAAAAATGCAAGATTCAGGGCAGTGCTAAAAAGCAAGACAAATTCTAAAATCACCTAATTTAAGAAAAACTTTTCATATTAGTGCGACAATAGAAAAATTACAAAAAGCATAGCAGTGGAAAACAAAAACGCAAGATGTTGGAAATAGACACAATGCAAAAAGACAGTGAAAAAAAACGTAAGCTCTGTACTATAGACAGAAAAGCGCAATAGTTGATAGAAAAAAAAATATAGAACTGAAAACTGCACAGGAAAACAGAACTTAAAAAAGGTGAAAAGCAAAATATTTTAAATTCGCATTGCTTTTAGAAAGAAGCATCATTTGAGAAACCCTGAAAGTGATAAAGCATAAGCAACCCCTTACAGTTTTCGATTTAAACAAAAACGTAGAAATTTTAAAATAACACTTATTTTGAATAACTGCACTTTTTAACAATGCCACTAGGGCTGGGCGATATATGGCAAAAATGTAATCTTGATAATTATTATCCATATGGAATGATAACAATATATATTTCCATATACAGTGGAAGTCAGAATTATTAACCCCCTTTGAATTATTATTATTATTTTTTTTATGTTCCACAATGATGTTTAACAAAGCAAAGAGATTTTCACAGTGTGTCTGATAATATTTTTTCTTCTGGAAAAGTCTTATTTGTATTATTTCGTTGAGAATGAAAGGAGTTTTTAATAAAAAAAAAATTAAGGTCAAATTAGCCCCTTGAAGCTATATATATTTTTGGCTTGTCTACAGAATAAAACATCGTTAAACAATAACTTGCCTAATTAACCTAGTAAAGCCTTGAAGCTGTATAGAAGTGTCTTAATATATATATTCCAATATATTTTACTGTCATCATAGCAAAGATAAAATAAATCAGTTATTACAGATGAGTTATTAAAACTATTATGTTTAGATATGTGTTGAAAAAGATCACTCCGTTAAACAAAATAAGGGAAAAAAATAAACAGGGGATCTAATAATCCAGGGGGCTAATAATTCTGACTTCAACTGTAAGTTGTTAATGCTTCCAGATTTAAGTGGTCCCCAACAATAACTGAAGCCACAAAAATTAGAGGGTCCATTAAATGGCATTACATACTTTCAGCCGATAAATTTTCGGTGGCTGAAAATTAAGTACATCTCTAATATAAACACACTTTTAGATTCCCATTGTTGCACATTTCTGCTGTATGATTGGCTCACTATAGAGTAAAAAAGTCCAGAGCGTAATGTTGTTATTGACTAATTTATCGCGATTGGATATAAAATCGTTTATCGGCCCAGCCTTAATTAACAAAAAGGTCAAGTTGGCGCTTTCATAAAATGTTTTTCAACATTTCTCAAAGTTTTTAAACAATTATAAGTTTGCAAAAATCACAAAGAAAGCTCTTTGCACTTTTAGCATGATGCAAACACACACACAAAAAACAAGGACAAAGAAAGCATCCTTTGCAGCTCAAGCGATGTATTTCAACACACAACACAGTCACGTACTCAGCTGCTTTAAATCCAACATAAACACAACCCAAAACAATCTGCTTGAGTATGTTACTATATATATATATTAGTGCTTTTCATATTTCCTTACATGTGTGTGTGTGTGTGTGTTGTTACAGCCCTGTCTGTAGTTCAGTCTTATGAGAGCTGCAGTTCTTTCAGGCTCCTCAGGGACTCGGCACAGCCTCGGATCAGATTGCAGAGCTGAATGCTGGCCTCCACTGATGCGGCGTGCTGGAGCTCCTGCGTGGCCCATCTGAGCTTGTGAAGCACAGCCTCTTCTGCACTGGACAGGGCTGGGTGGTGATGGAGTGAGCTGCCCGAAGACCCTACAGGAGGTGTCGTCTGGACAGGCGGGTTGGATGGCGGCAAGAAGTTGGAGGCAGGGGTGGGGATGGAAAGAGGGGTTGGCTGTACAGTTGGAGGGGGGCCTCTGAGTCCAGACGCAGCCCCCTCACAGTGCTCCGGCCTGGGCTGGCCAGTGATGGAGAGAGGGGGTTCACTGGAGGAGGCTCCGTTAGATTCGGGAACAGGCTGAGTGGCAAGCTGGCGCTCTCGTACCTGTGACAAGGCTGCTTGAGCATTTAAAGCTGAAAGAGAAGTTGGATAATTTAATGGTGATGAGCAAGAATTTATGTTTAAGGAAGAGGATTTGAATGTACCTGGGTTGTCCTTGTCAACATCGGAGTCCAGCTCTTGACAAGCAACACAGTAATTTTTCTTCTGCTTATCTTGCAGCAGAATCGTCTGCAAATAGATGGAAGTTTTGTTTTGCTTTAAACACTGTAATAAGTAATAACAATTAAAGTCTGTGAGAAAAAATGTACAATGATTATTTTGTTATTCTTTAGGTGAACAATGAATCCATGCTAATGATTTTTGTTTTGGTAGTCTGCATCTGCTTTTGGAGTGGCGGTCCGGCTCTGTTGATGTCAGTTTGACAGCTTCAGTCACAATATTTTTAGCCACGCCCCCCTTACTGTTAGTTTCCTATGAAAAAATGTTGTGCAAAAAGAGAGCCCCGTCTCTACTCAATATTCCGTAAATATTCAATATTTAATACTATTTTTGTTGTTTGTGTACCATTAGATATTGCCTTACTGCATAGTTTTAACTAAAAGTAACTGTATTTTTTAATGATTAAACATGAAAATCATTGTAATTTTTCATTTAAATGTCTTTTTTTCTAAAATTGATTGATTTATAGATGTTGGATACTCAAAAAAAAATTGTTGTCAGACGAGACCTTGTAAAAATACAAAAGCAAAACAGCTGAATTACAGAAAGGCACTGCAGATAAATGCAAAAATACTAGATGTGGGCCATTAAGACTTCAGTCTTAAAACAAGGTAAACATTATAATGTTAAGGCATAAACGATATTATATCGTATGGCGATAACATTTATGTCAATAACAATGACTTTTTTTACTTTTACTTTTTTACTCTATATAATCTACGAGCCAATCAGGTACCAATTGATACTGAAAACACACATTTCCCGTTAACAGTTGAGCGTGTTTTTAAGCAGTGCTGATAAGCCATTGTGTTGATATTAGGGATGCACCAAATTTACGTCCAGGTTATGCTATTTAATGTACCCTCTTATTTTTGGGGCTTTAGTCATTGTTGGGATACTCTTAAATCCAGAAGCAATAACAACTGAAATCGAAATATATATATACATGTATATCATTATTGTTTAATGTGGAAAATAATTAATTGAGATTGTATTTTTACCATATCGCCCAGCAATATTGAGGCAGGTTTGTAAAATGTTGATTCATCATTCAAAAGAGGCGAACATGCATTTATTCAGTGCCTTTAAAAAGAAACAAAGTGGAAATGTGACGGGATTATTAAAAACAGGTTATTTTCGTTCAGTTATTTTCATTTTTTTGTTTAGTTATTTTCGGACATCCATGAAACACATTGTATTTTATAGCTTCATGATGAATAAACAGAGTACAGTGTTTATTTGCAACTGTAAACTTTATAAAAGTCTCAAAGCTCTCAATTTTGATCAAGTTAAAATGCATCCCAACTGCTGGCTCGGGAAAGCTGAATCAAATGAATCAATTTTGCAGACTGCATTAAACCATCTTTAAGAAATCAAAGTTTTATCCTAGATTCTGCCCTCTTATTTGACACACAGGTAGATGCAGTAGTTAAATCTTGTTTTTTTTCAGCTGAGATTATCAGCCAAAGTGAAAGGCTTTTTAAAAGGCTTCTTACTGGCACACGCAGGTTTGAACACATTACTCCTATCCCGTGTTTCCTAAATTGTGACCTAGAATTGAGTTTAAAATTTTAATGTCTGTTTTTAAGGTATTAAAAGGCCAGGCTCTGACTTATCTCTCTAATCTTATTAGTTCAAATATCTGCCAGATGTTTAAGGTCATCGAACCAGAAAATGCTAGTAGTTCCCAGATCCAAATTGAATAAAAAAAGAAGATTGAGCTTTCTCTGTAGTAAGTCCTAAAGTGTGGAACAGGCTACCTTCGTCCATTAGAAAAGTTTTTATTGAATCTTTGTTCAGATGGAAACTTAAACTATACCTCCTTGAAATAGCTTTTAAATTGGGAGAAAATTAATCCTATTGTACCTATCTGGTCGCTTGTTATGTATCTATGATGCTGTGTGGTATGTTGGATGTATTCTATGTTGTTTTACTTGTTGCTGTCTATTTTTGATCATTTGCTTTTAGGTTTGTACAGCACAATGGTCAACAACTTAAATTTTTTTTTTATTACGCTTTGTAAATAAATAAACTAAACGAATTAAAAACATTATTAAACTTTCAGACATTCTGAACTGAAAATATTGCACGTCATCTTTTGTCATTATCGCAAGTTTTAATATTCAAACATGGCTACAACTTAACAACACAGTACCTCACTGCATATTTAATAATTAAATTAAGGCTCTAGCTTGTATTGCACTAAATAAAACACAGATTTGATTGGAGTCTCCTATGAGTGTATGGTGTTTTCTCTCACCCCGCACAGCTCACAGCACTCGCCCAGCATCTTGTACCCCTTCAGCAGATAGTCTCCCATCAGCTTGCTGATCTTATCCTGCCGCTCCCGGCGAGCCTGAATCACCTTCATCTCTGCTTCAGAGGGAGGCTCCCATTCAAAGTCTTCATCATCTGGATTCAGGAAAACACACACAGAATGCTCTTGTTTCTGGACGAATGCTCATTTAATTCACACACCCACTTAAGCACTTTCCAGGTGTTTTAAAACTTTTTCAGTACTTTATAAAGTGTGGAAAATTACATATTTACATACGTCTGCACACCTCATCACAATAATTATATTTAGAAAAAAATCCTTTCTATAAAGATTGGTGGGAGAGAGGTATTTGGTTGAGTGTCCATCTATTAAACAAAGAGGGTGAGGTTCTGAGTTACTGGAAATTTTTGTGAAAAATATAACTTTGAATGTGATCATAAGCAATTCAATAGGGTATTGAAATCTATTCTGAAGGCATTTGTAATAATGGTTAGTACTGTGGCCCCCAATAAAAATGACGTACCTTATTTGCTGATGAATGGAGAAGATTTTATTCAGAGTGTATTCAGATAATAAGCTCTATTATCGAATTAGGGAATATGTTCCTTTCCTTCCCCATACCTCCTCAAAGCTAAAGAAGTACACTTTAAAATATTCAATGATATTTAACCATCTGCAGAGACTGTATATTTATTTTTGACTGTTTATACAGCAGAACCTTCTAGACAAATTCATTTGAGTGGTTAAAAGTTTCTCTCAAGGTGTCCTCCCAATTTTCTAAAAATGATATTATCTTTGGTTTATTAGGGGAAGATATTAATATTCAAGTTGTATTGAACAATATTCTAATTTTGGAGAAATTTTATGTTCATAAATGCAAGTGCCTGAAAACAAAACCACTGTTTTGGGTTTTCCAAAAGGAATTTTGGTTATACTGTAAAGCTTTAAAGTTGGTAAAATCAAAATTAGGAAGTTCAGTTTATTGAAAACATTTTAATTAATAGACGACCAGGTAGTTCTTTTTTGAATGTGTTTGTGTGTCTATTCTATGTTTAAAGTTGTATTTATTTATATTATAATCTTATTGATTTGATTATTATTTGTGCTGTTCTGTAGTTGTTAATTAAATTTGTGCTATATGCAAAAAAAAAAAACACTTCATCACATATCAGAAGCTATTCTAGAGTATAGTACAGTAAATTATAGTATAATTAATATACTATGTGAAAAATTTCGTTTTTAATTTTATTTTTTTAGCTTTAATATAAGGAAAATTTGTGATAGCAGGTTTGATCCAACCCCAACATTTAGTTATGCTGTCATCCATTTACATATCTTTATTATAATTTATTCATACTATTATTACCAGCTTAGTAAGATAAATTATTATGAAAGGAACAATCGCATTTTAAAGTACTTTATCCATAATCTAAGTACATTTTAAACCTTGAAACACAAGAGTAAAATTCCAGCATTTAAAGTATTTTCAGCACCCGTGCGATTCCTGTACGTGGAACTTTACGAGTCAATAATAGGCAAAGACACAGAGAAAGCTCGATATTTTAAATGAAATAAAAGCCACATGCCAGTACAGAAATGCAGACAGTGAGGGGCTAACCTGCTAACGTAACATGATGTTATTTTAGCGCAGCTGCACGTGTACTAACGTTACTATAGCACGACGGGAGGTTAGTGATTAAGGGTTATTTCGGTACTAAATTGGGGAGTTTAACAAGAGATTTGTCTAAATATGAGTTTTTTGACATTTTACCTGCGTTAAGGGCCATGCTTTCTTCATCAGCCGCCTCACAACACAGATAACGTTTCCTGCTCGAAACTTCAGCGGTGAAATGTGGAAGGTGATATGAAAACTGACTGGCGCCATCTAGCGAGCTGAATGCAGGTCCTATTGCTCAGTTTTTTCCCCCTTCATTCTGAAAATCTCAGGATTATTTGTTTCGTTCGGAAAAAAAAAATCTGGATTTAGACACATAAAAAAAGACATAGTTTATGCTGGAAAATAAAGAATGTTCTTCACTATCTCTTGGTTTCCAGTCAACTAAATATTCTAACTACCTGCTTGATTTGTTTAACTGATAATATGCAGTTACGCCTCTTTCTAGCCCTAGACATCTGGGGTCTTAACAATGCAGAAAATAACATTTTATAATGAAAGTGGATTTTGAAAAAAATTCAAAAGGCTCCTATACAATAAAATCACTCCTTCTGCACAACTCTATAATATATTTTTAAACATTACCATCACTGCATCAGGTTAATATTAGCCTAATTAATACATAGTTAATGTGAATAAAGAAAATCACTTTGATTTTATAGTTTACTTTGACCAATATGATGCTGTTACCAAACTAGTGTAGTGTGGCGTTGTCAGTCTTGCAAAGATACAGCCTCTGGTGTTGGTGTTGCCAGCATGGTTTGGAAATGTGTAGTCCACACAGTCTTATGGTGACAAAAAGTAAAGTTTGGGATTTTTATCAGGGCTCAAACTGTGCAAATCATGGTTAACACACAACAGTTGTGGACAAATAGCATTAGCTTTGTCAGCTATATTACCGTATGTGAAAAACGGTATGTGTTCTAGTATTACACCCAAACCAGTTGACAGATGAGAATACTAAGAAGTTCGCACATGATGGACACTTCACTACCTCATGAGCCCACAGAAGAGGGTTTATTAATGGAAAAATACAAAATGACTGAAAACATATGACGAATGCTAACTTTTCTTAATTCGTTGCAAAAATCAAATTGTTCTCACAATTTAGTATTTACTCATCCTCAAGTGGTTATAAACCTTTCTAAATTTCTTGACAACAAAATAAGTAATTTTGAAGAAAACTAAAAACCCGTAGCCATTGACTTCCACAGCAAGCAAATTCCATAGTGTCTTACTACACAAATCATTGCAATTTCTCATATTAAACAGGTTTGAAACAAGTGAAGGGAGAGTAAATGATGACAGACTTCTCATTTTTAGGTGAACTATGCTTTGAAGCCAAGAAATTAGAGGAGACAATAATTACATTTTTATTAGTTCTTACAGTTGTGGTATTAGCACAAACGTCCATGCAAATTTGAACAGCACTAGAGGGATTAAGGTTGGAGACTTCAAAACCGATAATGTTCCTTCATTCACTTTCCTTCAGCTTAATCCCTTTATTTATCAGGGGTCGCCACAGCGGAATGAACTGTCAACTATTCCAGTGTGTTTTACGCAGCAGATGCCCTTCCAGCCACAACCCAGTACTCAGAAATTGGATAATATTAAAACTTCATTCCTACAGATTTTATAAAAAAAATTTTTTTTTAAATATTTTATAAGTCACCAGCACTCATGTAGGTTTCAACAAAGTATTCAAATATGGTAAAATCATTAAAAACATACTAGGAACAGTTCCTAAATAAACCATTCATATCTTAGAAGGACAGGTTAAAATCCAAAGAACATTGAAAAGTCTTTGTTTTCTTCAAGGATTTAATGAAGCCAAAAAATCCTGCATTTTTAAGGCTCAGCTAGAGAGTCACTACGGCTGGTTTGGCTTTTGTTCGTAAAATCCCAGCAGTGTCCACCATAGATTCCTCTCCAACAATACTGTCCTCTCGCCAGTTTCCACGCCACAGTGCGCTGAGCCAGCGGAAAGTGCTCTCATCCCAGTTTTCTGGAAGCTGCAGCATCAGATATCCAGCTGAGATGATGGCGGCGGCCGCTGCTCGCACATGGCTGATCTGCAGAGTTAACGTCACTAAGCCATCCACAGCTTATGAGAAAGAGAAGAAAGTGCTATATTCAATCATCAGACAATTAATGATGTTCTCTTTGTGTTTAGCAAGATAATTAAAATGTTTACTTGTCAATTTATTTCCATGAAAAATACCTGCACTTGCTGGAATTGTCAAGAGAATTCCCAGGGAAATTAAACTGGGGTACGTAAACATTTCTCCCAGATTTACCAGCAGATTGAAAACTTAAATAAAAACATAAAGACAAAGTTTGTTAAAGAGAACAACTAAAAATCTGATCACTACAAATGATGACAAGAAGATGACAAATAACATTAATAAAGCACTATTGTTTAACACTCAGTGCCAATCAAAAACTGCACATAAATGTATAGTTAAAGTCAAAATTATTCACCCTCCAGTGAATTTTTTCTTCTTCAAACATTTCCCAAATTATATTTAACAGAGCAAGGACTTTTACAGTTTTTACAATATTTCCTTGAACATTTTTTTTCTACTGGAGAAAGACTTTTGTTATTTCCGCTAGAATAAAAACAGTTTTTAATTTCTTAAAAAACATTTAAGGTTAATACAGGCTTTCTGCAGGTTTCAACAAGTCAAATTTAAGACTTTTTAAGACCCTTTTAAGACCGTTTTGAATGAAATTTTAGACTTATACAGGGCTAAACACTAAAGTTTTTTTGTAATGGTCTGGTTGTTGTTGCTTATTTGAATTTGTCAAAACAAGAAAACTCTAGTTGTACATACTTTTTATTTTTTTATTGTTATTTATTTTTAAAAGACAAGTTTAACCATTGTTAATAGTATATTTATTACGGACACAATTACATGAATGATCAAAAATATATATTTGTGGCTATTTGTCTGAATGGATTGAGTATAACTTCTATTCAACCCAATAATTTTCTGCTATATAAAACCTTGCCTATTCCTTGCCTGTTTATGAATATTATGTCTGCTTCCCCTTACTTTTGTACATAGTTTTTGTGTAACTGGAAAATCATGTAAAGGGACATATAGGTCTGTTATTATCACGTGGAATGTAATAATTGTTTTTAGGTTTCTTTCCCTGATTAGAGAATTACATTTGGACAATTTGCTGTAAAAATTTCTGTTGTCGATTGTATCTCTATGCAATAATAAAACTTATATTATATTATTGGTGATTAGATGGATGTTGGACTTATTGGGTAGCTTTACTTGGACAGAGGAAAATTAAGACCTGTTAAAAATGTTTTAAGACCTACAACACAAAATTTCAGTGAATTAAATACTTTTTAAGGCCTACACTTTTGCTTTTTAAGACCCCGCAGACACCCTGTTGATATTATTACCCCTCTTAAGGAATACTTTTTCGATTCTCTACAAAACAAACCACTGTTAGACAATGACTTGCCTAATTACTCTAAAAAATTACTGTTCAATTTAATTCAATTCATGTTTATTTCTATAGCGCTTTTACAATGTAGATTGTGTCAAAGCAGCTTAACATAGAAGTTCAAGTAAATTAAAACTGTCAGTCCAGTTTTCAGAGTTAAAGTTCAGTTTAGTTCAGTTCAGTGTGGTTTAATTTTCAATGCTGAAATTCCAAAGACTGAAGAGCAAATCCATCGATGCACAGCTCTACGAGTCCCAACCAAGCAAGTCAGTGGCAGCGGTGAGAAACAAACTTCACTTTATGTCACTTTAAGCTGAATACTAGTATCTTGAAAAATATCTAGTAAAATATTATTTACTGTCATCATGGCAAAGATAAAATAAATCAGTTATTAGAAATGAGTTTTTAAAACTATTATGTTGAGAAATGTGTTAAAAAAAGTTTAATAATTCAGGAGGGCTAATAATTCTGTCTTCAACTGTATGCATATGTTGCATCATTTTTTTTAATTTCTCAAGTTTTTAATCAATAAGGGCTAAATATCATTGTTTAGTATATAGAAAATATAATCTGATAATTACCAGTATTGATCCGGCTGTAATGAATACAATTTAAATACATTTATTTCAATGTAATTTAAAGCATAGTGTAAAGCATAAAATAAATACCCAGCAGTAGAGAAGCCATGACGCATAGTTTGTCCCAGGGGATATGCTGAGAGGGAGGCCAGTATTCCACGTGTGTGAAATAAAGCAACACACACACCCACGAGTGCAGGACAAAGCTGCACAGACCCACGCAGGACAACAACACGCTGGCAGGACCTGGTTGCACTTCCCCTACGCACTTTCTGAAAAGCACCTGAAACATGAAGCCATCCACATTTACTAAAAAACCTGTAGAAAGTTACGTTCATATAAAACATTTATACATACAAAGCTTTAAAACGACTGCCTTTAAATACAAATTGGATATTTGTAGGGGGTTAGTAAGTTTCCCTCACAATGATTACGCTTACCTAATAATTAAGTAGCTCCTTCGTAATATAAAATGTCACTTGTTGCCACCTACTGGCACAACTGTATATCATGTGATTTTGATTAATAAGTACTTAACGCATTTTTGTTCACTTGATTAATCAGTTAATGAATTAGTAAATAAGTACCTCCTGTATTTTGCCAACAAATTATAGATTTTAAAGATTAAAATGAGGTGGGTTTTCTCAAATTTTGCAGCATTTCTTTATATTCTTTTGCTGTAAAAAATATAACACTGAGAGAAACAGAGAGAATCTAGAGTTAAAGCCTGCTGTATCATCTTTGAAAAAGAACCAATTGTTTGAAAATAAATGCTTGCCATGTTGCCTAATGGCTATTTGATGCTAAATCATGCAGAGCATTGCACACTTATGTGTGTGTTTGTGTGTCTGTGTGTGTTTGTTAGAGAAAGAGAGAGAGAAGGCTACACATATGATGACAGATGCATAAATTATATAAAAGTCTAAATTCAGCAAACATACAATCGCAAATCGAGTTTGATCAATCACCTTTACAATATAGTCAGTTAAGGGAACAAATTATTATATCCTGCCCATATATTTCATGTATCTTATGTGCAAGGCTCCAAAGAAAAAAAAATCACTGAATGTTACTCAACAGACATTATTGGTAAAGAAATTCACTGTCACTGGGATGAATTAGCTGACCTTGAATAAAGCTAAAGTTGAGGCCGAACCAACTCCCAGTGCCACTCCTGTGATTGAGTCACTATGAAATCCGTCCCCGTAGGCCAACATAACAATCCCAGTGATGGACAGGATGACAGCCACTATCTAAATAAAGACCACAAATAAAACTGCAAGCGTTAATTACGGAGTCAAACAAAACAGGGGGAAAATGAAATGCTAATCAAAATGGCAAACAAGAAGTTCAACAGATTATTGCACAATTGTTATTGACGTTTTAATAAAAGTAATCTAGATTAGATGACCCTTCAAGTGAGAAGAGGCAACTTTTGAAAGCAGAGTATTATACATTTCTATAGGCACTGCATACATATATATATATATATATATATATATATATATATATATATATATATATATATATATATATATATACAACAGTTCTGTTTGGTTCTCGAATCTGATTGGCTAATAGGCGTGATATATATTTCAGTAATATCAGCACCTGTACAGCCTCTTTACTCTTTGTGTATTACTCCGCCCACATACAGCCAGCAAAAAGCAGACACTACAGATCTAAAGTTTAAAAAATACTTGCTCAGCTGTTTTACTGTCAGCTTATGATTTAAATCCAAAGAAACTAGTTCCTCATACAAAAGGGTTTTTGAGACTTTCCATGTTTGATTTTGTTTTTATATACACAATTATGCCGTCAAACTGTTGTATAAACGCAATATCACACTCATAGCAGTGCGATATGGCTGTATATCGGCACTGGTGGGGGCACTAAGGCACTCCTCCCACCAGTGCCGATATACAGCCAAATCGCACTGGTACTCGAGTGATATTGCTCTCATATATATATATATATATATATATATGTGAGCAATATCACACTCGTAGCAGTGCGATATGGCTGTATATCAGCACTGGTGGAAGGTCCCCCCATAATTGTGTATATAAAATATAATTGTGTATATAAAAACAAAATCAAACATGGAGAGTCTCAAAAACCCTTTTGTATGAGGAACTACTTCATTCCGCGTTGGATTCAAATCATAAGCTGACAGTTAAACAGCTGAGCAAGCATCTTTTAAACTTTAGATCTGTAGTGTCTGCTTTTTGCTGGCTGTATGTGGGCGGAGTAATACACAAAGGGTAAAGAGGCTGTTCGGGTGCTGATATTAAATCAGATTCGAGAACCAGACAGAACTGTTGTATAAATATGCACAAAACCCCCTATAAAGATACTTTGCACATTACAAATAAAACTGATTTAAATATGTATTTCAGCACTTAACCACTTATCCATGTGTTTATGCTTTTATTAAAATTTTCATGGCAATGTTTAATTTCACCATCTAAGAAGATAAAAAAGTTAAGCTATAACTGTGAACTGTAAGTAATAGTGAGTATAAACTGCTGCACTTCCCTCAACTGTTATTAACCACATTGACTTCTGGGACTTTAAGCAAGTACTGCTTTAAAATCTGCATTCCATACATCCTCTGCTCTTGCAGTCTTGAGTATTAGCTCTGGCTGTTGAGGATGGCATTAAACAAGAACACAAGGATGCAAGGTTACTTAAGAACCCACAATAAAACACAGCTTATATATTTTTAAAGTCAGTTACAAAGAGGTTGATTGTTCTAATTTAGATCTAAAGCAAGACTGATTACCCCTTGGCTGAATGCTGAACGCCAAACAAGTAGACATGACACAATGTGATCGTTAATGTATGCAACTTGGCCAAACTTATGTCAGGTTTTTCATAACGCACACCACAGTTGGTGGGGGAAAGCCCCCTAGCATCAGCAGACTTAACAACACGGCAATAATAATACATTAAACACAAAACACTATTCTCCTCCTCACCCTCACACCCATAAAGCGGTCTTTGAGTCCGATCCATGAAAGGAGGAAAGTAAAAGCCTGGCAGCAGCAGAGGACGGCACTTACGTCCACTTTGGAGATGCGGCAGAGCGCCAGCAAGTACAGATATCCAGATAAACCCCATAGCAGCGAGAATGGAGCTGCTCCTTTCAGAACAAACCGCACAGTCAACTCCTCACCCAGGAACACACTGCACTTTCTGCCAAAGGAGGATAAAGTGGTAAATATCATGACACGCAATGCCATTAAACGTTTCAAACAATGCTTACAAAACACTTCTTGTCACTTAATAGATTCAGCAACGATTATAGGTATGGAGCAAGTCGTCACTGCAATGTTATTTCTGAAAATATGAGGTTTTGAGAGCCGAATAAAATGAATGTTTTTTATTTTTTTATTTAGAAAATTCTGATTTAAGAACTTTCTTTAAAGGAACACTCTCCTTTTTTGTAAATTTAAGTTACCTAGAGTTAAACAGTTGAGTTTTACCATGTTTGATTCCATTCAGCTGATCTCCGGGTCTGGCATTATCACTTTTAGCTTAGCTTAGCTTAGCATAAATCATTGAACCGCATTAGACCATTAGCAAATTTTAAAAAGAGGTTTGATCATTTTCCTGTTTAAATCTTGACTCTTCTGTAGTTACATTGTGCAGAAAGACCAACAGTAATTAATATTATTAAAAATAATATTACAGTGCATTGTAACCTAGTTTTTATAGCTGGGGACTATTTTCAGATGCTGCATGCGTACGGCAGCAAAGTCACTTAATTATTACGCCAATGTGAGTAGAGTTTTTTTCTAGCCATATCAACCAAGAAAACAGCTTTAATTAGGAAAATTATCAAAACAATTTTTTAAAATTATTTGAGCGAGATGCTACTGGTCTAATCCGATTCAATGATTTATGCTAAGCTAAGCTAAAAGCGCTCCCACCAGAATCGGAAATGGTAGGAGAGTTATAAAATTACTCCTCATTGTAAAAAATTGCAGGGTAGCGCAGTGGGTAGCACATTCGTTTCTTCATGTTGCAAGTTCGAGCCTAGGCTGAGTTCTCCCTCTGTTGGCGTGGGTTTCCTCCAGGGGACTCCGGTTTTCCCCACAAGCCCAAAGACATGTGTTTCCCAGTGATGGGTTGCAGCTGGAAGGGCATCCGCTGTGTAAAACATATGCTGGCTAAGTTGGCGGTACATTCCGCTGTGGTGACCCCAGATTAATAAAGGGACAAAGCCGAAAATAAATGAATAAATGAATTGAAAAAATTGTATATATTGCAACATATTAACATATTGTGAGCAATATTCAGGTCAATAAAAAGAGTGTGCCTATTTGCTCGTGAATATTCTGCAATAGACTGATATCCACAGACCATTCACTGGTAAAGGTGAATGTATGCAGGTTTAGTACTTTATAAATAGAAAGGCCTAAACCTTATGTGCTTTATACCAAATACAGCTTCGTCAGCAGCAAGGCAGTGCAATTAATAATAAAGCTGCAGTCTTCCTCAGCTGATATTACCAAGGTTTTGCTATTATACCCACAATTTCTGGCCAGCTTCAGCGATGACTTTGCTCTGATAATGGGCTGTTGGCCATGAATAGATTCATTAATGAAAAGTGGCCATTTGTTAAGCTGTACTAGAAGCTGTGAGGATTAGAGGCTGAAAGCTGCTTGCACTAAACAGCTTTCAGAACATTAAGTTAAAATAAGAATTATATGCAATAATGTTCAGCTGGTGGTTTTGGACTTGCAAACACGCACTGTAAAGTACAAGTCCTAAAGACTGTAAAAATAAAGATTGTAATAAAATGTTTTTGGTGCAAACCAGTATAAGAACCATTTTGTTTATTCAAAAAACTTTCAGTTAACAATAATTAAAAGTTTTTTTTTTTTTTTTTTAATGTGGCACACAAAATAGAACAGATATTTTGAAGTCATCATGTAATCAGTTGAATTGTACAGGATTTCTGAGAGACATTTGCATTGTGTCCTTTAACAATGTGGCTGAAAACAAAGCCAATTGCCATGGTTTATTCAAAGTTAGTCAAAGTTATGCACGGAACATCAGTGAATGAAGCACTATTTTCTTTCCATGTTCAAAAGAACAGTATCATCACTTCACATCTTAACATGCACATAAAAAAGTAGATGAAGACATTATGACATTAAATCACCTAATCAATGAGGAAAGCTGTGTTTAAAATGAGCATTAATTAGGATTGCCCTTTATCAGAACTGTGATTGGTTGCTTTACATTGGTCAGACGGCCTCTTTTGTTGATCCTTGGCCAATGAACGCAGTAAGTTTGAATTTGTCTGAAGATCTGTTTATGTGAGGCTCTGTTTTACCCAGTTGTCCAATGTGGAGGAGCGGTGGGACCAACACTCACATTCTTCTAGTACAACAAACAATGGGGAAGTCTAAGCATAAATATTGCTGGTTTTTGAGTTTTCATGTTTTCACCAGACGACATGTCCAGATAAAAACAATGGACACACGTCCTTTTACCATTTTTGATTTCATTTAGCCACTTTTCAGATCTGGCAGGAGCACTTTTAGCTTAGCATAAATCATTGAATTGGATTAGACCATTAGCATATTTCTTAAAAAATGTAAAAATAAAAACAATTTTAAAAAAAGAGTTTTGATAACTTTTATGTTTAAAGCTTGATTCTTCTGTAGTTACATTGTGTACTAAGACGACCAACAAAAATAGTATTACACAGCACTGTTACCTAGTTTTCTAGCTGGGGTGGGACTTTTTTTCAGATCCTGTCAGATGACGTCCAAATTACAGCAAAGAACACAAGGCCTTAGTGTACACATTTAATGATCTGAGGAAACACGTTTGACCATTTTTAATTCCATTCAGCTGATTTCCGATCTGGCAGGAGCACTTTTAGCTTAGCTTAGCATAAAGCATTGAATCGGATTAGACCATTAGCATATTTCTCAAACTATTAGAAAAAGAGTTTTGATAATTTTCCTGTTTAACACTTGACTCTTCTGTAATTAAACTGTCTACTAAGACCAACAGAAAATAATATTACACAGCCCTGTAACCTGGTTTTCTAGCTGGGGACTATTTTCGGTTGCTATCAGATGACGTGCAAATTACAACAAAGGACACACGACCTTAGTGTACACATTTAAAAATCTGAGGAACTTTTTTCCTCTGTAAAGAAACTTTAAAGTAATGAAGTATAATGGCGAAATTCCATGAATATTAAAGGTTCTTAATGGAGCCAATGAAGAACCTTTATGTTATAAACAGTTTAACATTTTCTAACCTGAACTCGGTTTTTGGCAACCTCTTCTGTTTCTCTGTGAGAAGATGGCACAGATAGTAGACTGGGAAAAAGAGGACGTTCCAGATGCTACAGAACCAGATGATGAAGAACGGTGTTGGATGTCTTATCAGAGTCTCTTTAGCGCTATGAGTTCCCCAGGCCCAGGAAACGGCCAGACAAGACCCCAAAATGAGCCCACACATCACCCGTCGTACAGCTCGAAATGGACATCGAGCGCAGCAGCGTTTAGATGGTTTTTCGGCATCAGATTCGTCCTGAACTAAAGTCTGTTCCAGGGGATCCTTCTCGCTTGCTAAGACGAAGAAATGCAAGACATTTAAAGAAACTTTTCTGCTTCAATACAATTTACAAATAAGCAATATTTAAATCTTTACTTGGTGTGGGCAGGTGAAGTGCGACAGGTACCGGTCCAGAGGAAGGAGAGATCTTGGCTGAAAGTTTGTTCATTGCTTGTTGTGGTGTCTTAAAAACACCCCAAACCTTCAGGTCAGGGTTTTAAGCCTCTCTCGATGAGCTCCTCACTCATGTCAGTAATATGCTTTAAGTAAACACACACACACACTAAGAGCAGATTACTACAGACCCACCTGTAATTAAAAAGCTATGGTTTAAAAGCTTATTGACACGTAAAACACTCCAGTAGCCACTTGGGCAGGTTGAATTGTCCGCAGTAGGAGTCAACATTGAAGTGTGTGTGACTTTAACTTGCCAACTTTACTAAAATTAATCATTGTTTCACTCAAAAAACAGAACAAAACATGGTTACCACATCCATTATGATTTTGCTTAACCATAGTTTAACAATGTTTTTGTAGTAAAATTGTGGTCAAAAACACTGTTATTTATCTATTTGTTCAATTTCATATGGGAAATTGAATGTACTATAAATACTTGTTTAAACTATGGGTAATGTAGGAAATACTTTTTTTGTTGTTGCTTGTAATGGTAAATTGTTGTAATAGAAAGAGATTGAAGCACCAAACTGTAAACAAGAAATTGACAAAAATTGAATTCGGGTGTAAAAAATCTTAACAAAACATTGCAATTGCACAAATAAACTCACAGAACACATCCAATGCATTTCAAAATACAGGTATTACATCCATAACATATACGATATAATATATATAGCCTTAAGCAACATGACAAGACTAGAGTGCTGTTTTCAGAACATTCATTCATTAATTTTCCTTCGTCTTAGTCCCTTTATTCACCCGGGGTCACCACAGCGGAATAAACCGCCAACTTATCCAGCATATGTTTTACACAGCGGATGCCCTTCGAGCTGCAACCCATAACAGGGAAACATCAATACACACTCATTCACACACATACACTACGGCCAGTTTATTCACTTCGCCTATACCGCATGTCTTTGGGTTGTGGGGGAAGCCGGAGCACCCAAAGAACATGCAAACTCCACATAGAAATGCCAGCTGACCCAGCCGGGACTCGAACCAGCGACTTCCTTGCTGTGAGGTGACAGTTCTAACCACTGATCCACCGTGTCGCCGTTTTCAGAACAATGAATACAGCATAAGAGTCCGACTCCAAACGTAATTAATTAATCCAAAGTAATTAATATTAAGTGACTTTGATTTTACACACAATATGATCAATGTTGATCCTTTTACCTTGAAAATAGTCCCATGCTAACCACGACCATAGCTCCGCATTTGCTGATCCAGCGGTGTTTGCTTACCTACTGATTCAATGGTGTATTTGAACAAATCGAACGAGTCATTCATGTGTACGCTTGCTTCATTCTGAATAAACTGTCTGAATGAATCAGTTAAATGAAAGACTCACTCATGGAAAAGCATCATAGCAATTTCCAAACATTTAATATTTTTATATTAAAAACTGATTTATGTTCATCTCACTTATTCATATTAATGCTACATTTGAATTTATTAAATTGTCCGTAAAAAACGTCTAAATGACACTTCAATATGACAGATCATACAGGCTACATTAAAAGCTTCCACTTTTTATGAAGGCAAAAATGCATTGGAAATAAAAACTTTAAATGTCTGTCAATTTAAAAATTCAATTTCTGTCATTGAAATACAAATTTCATTTCAAAACTTATCTTTTGTATGCATTTTTCAATTGTCCAGTGAACATACTGGATAGTAACATTGAAAAAGCATAACCTGAAGTTAACATCAAGCCCTGTCTATGATCATAAAATACATAAATGTATAAAGGCAAATATAAATTTAAAATTCCCATAATTAACACAACAATGGCATGAATTAATCCCATAATCCAGATATTGTCAAAAAAAGTTATAAAGACTTTAATTATTGAGGTATTATATGTTTTTAATTGTTACATGTTTTCATCAACATTTCAAAAGTTAATGAAGTATACATAAACTATATTCTATAATTCATAGCAAGCAACATAAACAGACGTCAGTAAAGGTTTTAGAGGTATTTCATTTGTTTTATTGATTCATGAGTCATAAAACTCCACACATAACAAACCAAACATTATACATTACAAGTCCAATGAGTAACAGTGATTTACCGAAGCTGATGTAAATGGCTCTAAACACTAGGCAAGACAAGTTAACACAAGCAAAAACATAATATGGTGATCAGACTCCATACATATTAAAATGCATCACTCAAGACTGGCTATGGGTAAAGGATGATGAGCATTAGGGAGCACTTTCACAAAGAAGAGGTATATGGTAAAATACCTGCACTGAGTACCTCAAGGCAAATATTGACCTCATACAAATGTATGCTTTAAACCACCATCTTATCATCATCATCATCATCATCAATATGACCTAGCAGCTTTGCTAAGTGATACTGATGTGTTTTCCTGGTTGTGAGGTACTCGTGCCCTTCTCTGAGATGCCTTCTTTGCTTAATGGGGAGCTTTTTCTTCTGCCGTCTCGCTGTGAAAGTGCTGAGGGAATGTATTTGAGGATAACATCTGCCCTGTGGAATCTGATATGGCCGTTCAGTCTGTTATATTCAAAGAGGGAGACACAAAGATAAGGAGTGAGATGCTTCATGGCCATAAACATTTGGATATGGATTGTTTGGTTAATGTAAATATGTAATAATGATAGACAGTACATAACAATGGTAACGACATTGTAAAAACATTTCAAAAGTATTTTAGTTGGTCATGTTAAATGGACTTTTCTAGTCATCTTAACTTACATCAGTCAAATTGACTAAAAATATTAAGTTAAACTGTGAATAATTCATTATTTTTTCATAACTGATTAACATTTTAAATACAATATAGCTATTTATTTATAATCAAATAATTATACATAGTTATAGTAACATGAATACATTTGCTGTCATGACTTTTGTCATACAGTTTTAAAGTGCACTGTCGTTCCCTGGTTTTATGGTTAAATTAAGCTATGCTAACTTTTTTGTATTGCAGGATTTGAAAAAGGTTGTTTTTCAATATGCAATTTAGCCATCATTTATTTAAAGATGTGCTAATCTGCATACATTTCCAGCACAAATTTTGAAACATTTTTCTCAAGAGTTAGTTTAGAGTTTTACCGGTTTTTTTTTAGAGGGGATTATCACTCCATAGTTTAGAAAATACTGCAAACCACATTAAGCCACATTAATCCCTACTTTTTAGCACATTAAATTGTATACAGTATTTACAACTTTTGAGTGGTCGTGTGGCAAAAATGTTAAGCATGGTGATGAGGGAACTGAGGAAAGAGGTGGAAGAATGAAAACTCAAGCATAATCAGACATAAGCTTTTTTCAACTCTTTGATGTTAAAAATGTATAAATATAGATAAAATATCTTAATAAACTAATATTAATAAATGTAATAAAATTATATGATAATATAATAAATTATATTTTAAAATATGTATATAATAGTAAATAAAATAATATTTATATAATATAATTTATATAACATAATTAAATAATATATAATAATAATAATAATAATAGTTATTATATTATTATTATTATTATTATTATTATTACATTGAACCATGGTTAAATATAACTTGCTAAAAAGAGTTATGTAGTTTTTTTTGCAGTACAAGGATGCTAAATGTTTTATAAGATCAGTTGTTTATGCTGCATGTGCATTGCATGTTTTAAATGCTGAGAAAGTAATAACTGTATGTTTAAAGACGTGTATGGACTGTCTAAGGTGATTGTTGTTATGCCTGATTGATTAATTGACTGTTTAATAAAAATGCAGAATACAATACCTTAGATTATCAGCCAAATAATAATTAAACAAATCTCTCTGTAAAAATCTTCAGAATAGGAACATTTTTGAAAAAAAAACACCAAACTAGAGCTGCGCGATTAATCGAAAAGTTTTTAAAATTTTCAGGACAATTTTTTAAGTTACTTTCCCTACGTGTCCCTTGACTCGGCTCTGTTAAAGGCTGTGGCTCTTTTCTACTTCTGTGGCCACATCTGATCACTCGACAAGTAGGATGATAGCTTTGCACTACATTGACGATGATTGGAAGATGCCTTTAGGCGGCATATAAATAAAAAAATGAATAATAAAAAAAATAAATAAAAAAAATAATCATTCATAAATGAGTTAAAATTTTAAATTAACTAAGATTTTGATTTTAGGCCAAATCGGCCAGCCCTACACCTAAAAAAAAAAAATATATATATATATACGTAAAAAGGTATGACAACAAATGTTTTCATGCTACTTTAACCTATTTCAATAGGGTTTATTGTAATAGTTTTATCAGTTTGACTGATGTAAATTGAGATGACTAGAAAAGTTCATTTGATTCAACAAAAAAATTACGCAGCAAGAATTTGCAAAAAGTAATGTAATTGGAATATACAAAGACAAATTGAAGTGTGAGAAATGAAGCATTTAATGATGTTCTTCGGATATTTTAAGCATGTTAGACTGTAAAAAAACACTTCTTAAAAAGCTAGAAATCTCAAAACTGACAGTGGCATGAAAAAAGGCATAAAATTTGCCTGTAGAGTCTTGCATTAAGACCTTTTCATGGGTAATAAAATACGCTGGAAAAAAGAGAAAGTAATTGTTTACCTTTGGGTTTGGGGTGCATGAGGGTCAGAGGCAGCTCTACTGTCACATCACTGTGAGGAGAAAACAATAGGTTAGACGAAAGGTCATTTCTGTTTTCTCATTTTCCTTTTATTCTGTTTCCTCCTTTTATTTACCTTGCTGTCAGGCCTCCAAGCAGACTACAAAAGAGAGGAGAATCGGGTAAGTATGATACAATTAGTACATAACTATGTATGTTAATAACAACGTTACAAACAACAAACAACATCACCTTCTCTTTTGTACTTTCTTATTACTCAATTGTTTTTAATTCGTATAGTTTAAAAATCCTTACCCTCCGCCTGATACCATGAGGTTAACCTTGATCTTGTAGGACACCAGGATTCCCAACATCTCCTTATCCATACCTGTTCTTATTCTAAGGGAAAAGTAAGAAATGAGCAGGTTATTATCTTTTGAATTCCATGTAACTAACTAATCTGCACATCTAATCAAACATCTACATACCTATAACAG